GTATATGGCCACAGCTTTTCAGGGGGAAAAAATAATAATCAGTCACATGGTTTGGTAGCCATGGATTTCTGACCAAAATCACCACAATTTGGAGCATTTGTTTCTCAGGAGTATTTTAACGTATCAACTTGTTGTTTTGTATATAGCATTTATGGCTAAAGCATATTAAATTTAGGGTTTTCAGCAAAAATAGCTGCAATTTGAGGGCATGTGCATCTCATGAATGCTTTGACTTGTTATTTTGTGTCTATTACCAAAGAATCTTCTGAGATAAATAACATATACATCAGTGGGTACATATTAAGACATTCATACTTAAAACTTGGACCCGACAAAGCTGCTCTGCCAGTTTAATTTTGTATTTTTTTTAGGAATACCGTTGAATTTAAAAATGTTACACGGCGATATCAAACAAGTCAAGTTAGAGAATGCGCTGTTGTTTGCTGCTAGAGGGATGCAGATTGTCCGAAAGTTGGGATTCGCCGATGTCATAATGCCAGGTAAGAGACTTGGTGTATGTGGCACTTTGAGTTGAAGACTTGAAAGCATTTTTCTTTGAGCTCTGGGAGGGTTACGAAGTAGTAATGTGACCAAAAACGTCAGATCTGTAAAAACAGTGAGAGAAAAAATTGTTTGTGGTTTACAAAAGATGATGAAAATGTTGTTTTTGTGGGTTTTGAATTGATCCAAGATTGGTGAGGATTAGGCTATGGCGTGCCAATGTTCATATCTCAAATGCTGTATCCATCAACATTGATCAGTGCAAATAATTCCAGTTTATTTTGACTCCTCCACATATCATACAGAACTTTAGTAGACCAGTTTCATACAATACTACTACACCCATTTTTAATATCACAATTTAGGACAATAATAATCATCAACGACATTATCGCTTATCCTTCATACTTGTTTGATCAACTCATTTAATTATCATTTTAATAAAGTATGCCCTCTATGGTGAAAATAAGAAATGCAATCTAAAAGTACTGTAAATTTCCAAATGAATACCATACAAACTCTGGTTGAAATTTCTATTCCCATCAAAAACAAATGATAATAATTGCATTGCTACATTAATTTTGGAGATGCTGGGTCTTACTAAATTTATGCTGACTACATTTCTGAATACGCTTTCTATTCTCATCAGGTGATGCTCGAAACGATGTGTACATTACCATGGAGAGAGGAGAGTTTGAAAAAGGTGGCAAGAGCGTTGGTAAGAACGTGGAAGTGTCAATGAAAGTGTTCGACAGCGAAGGATACATGTTAAAGGTGAACACAAAGTCGAATGTTTAACGTTATAGGTCAAAGGTTATATGAATAGTGTTGCAAAATTAAATAAAATGCTAAATTCAAGCTACTCTGTTGTAGTAGGAACGCTTGGTGACATTTTTTAAATCACTTTATCTGGCTGTAACTTAAAATATAAAATTTCTTGCAATGATGTTTTTGTTCTGCTAGAAAATAAGAGTTCATTTTAAAGTTCAGAGTTCACGTGCGGGAATTGGGTGTACAATGTAGTTGTGATTTTCTAGTTACCAAAATATCACTGTCTCTAATTGCCAAATCAGTTAATAACTATCAGTTTTGATGAAAAAGCGCTAAATCACAATTGTTGCGTGTCAGCAGTTGTTTTCATAATTCAACGAAATGAAATGTTTGGCTGAGCACATCATCAAGAAGTCTGAAGGGTCCTGAATGCTAAATAAGAATTAGTAATGTGAAAACTACTATAATGAGGATCGTTAACATTATGAAAATATTTACAATTCTCGCTGATCTGTAGAATTCCATCAAGGTTGGTGAAGGTGCACCGCCAAGGTCAGAATATAACTCGTATATATATTATCACTGCAATGTACCACGCTGGAATGAAACTATCAAGTTAGCGGTTCCACCGGAAAAAGTTGAAGGATCACATGTTAGATTTGAATTCAGACATTGTTCCAGTAAGTATCCTTGTTCTATGCCTTCCCAGAAAGAATACATGTTGTTTGTATCGCTCAATAGATCTTGAATCATGTTTGTCATTTCTTTCCTTCACAGACAAAGATTCTCAAAAGAAACTGTATGCGTTTGCATTCAGTAAGCTGACCAGATTGGACGGCGCTATAATACCAGACGGTACACATGAGTTGTATGTGTACAAGGTATATATGAATACCACAGCTCCTATATACATGATCAGTTGAATATTTCTTGATGGAGCTAAATAACACTAATACCATCAAGTCCCAAATATATATACATGGTTTAATACCATTCTGTCATGTGACACAAAATAACTTGATCGTAATTTGTTTTGCTCTCTCCTAGTTGAAGTCTATTTCATT